CGTTTTCCATACCAACACATGGAAATCGATTAGCAAAAGGAGCAAAACTATTCAAAGTTCACGTCTTTAAAAAGTTCAATAGTGTGTTTAGTTGTATGTGCATAACAAAGTTAAAAGCGTCATAGCCTTAAGAAACCTTTTCATATTTTTATCTTTGGTGCCATTGTTTATATCAAATAGAAAAATCTGTTTGAATTAGTAATAATGTTTTAACTCCTCTCGCATGCTGACTTAGAAGTGCGCTCTCATTGGTTCGTTTCGCAAATCTTTTACCAGAGATGATCACTGTCTCCGTTCTTTTCTCAACGAGATCGACCTAAAATGTTGGAGGAACATTTGAGTGTAACCCTTTTTTAAGGCATTTCTTAACAGTTAACATAAATACTAAACCTATAGTTAAGCTGGTGGGAATTTCCAATATGATTATTAATCAAACTATTTTTGTGTAAAATAAAATCACGGACAAATACCGACACAGTAAATTTGTTCAAACAAACTGTCAGCTCATAACATCGTGGTTGAAACAGAGGTAGAAATAAATATGCACACGCAAATTGGCGGGAAATTCACACGTATTCCCGCGCTTTGGAACGTAACATTGTCAGAAACACTGTAACAGGGTGGATTAGCGTATACCTCGAGGGCAAATCTGTTTATGTTTATATCCCGGCAGCTGTTTAAACAGTTACGCAATGTTAACACTACCTTGCGGCTATCATATATTTTGCTGTGTTTGAATTAAAACTGAAAAAATTGTATGTATTGAATATTGATGGCCAATAAACATTTGTCACGCCTACATTTTTTCAATTTGAATGTGTCTAAAAATTACGAGAATATGAAGAATGTTAAAGAGGAAAAGTTCTTTTTATTTCTAAGCCATTGAAAATAAATTTTGCGATTAGCAATATTTCTCGTTGCAAGCTGTTAGTTTATAATCGTAGCAATTTATTTTTGTGATGAAATGTAGTTTTTAATAATGGTTCACTTATCAATGGACAATTGGCCAAACTATAATTTATTTTATTTTTTAAGTGAAACAACTATGTTATGTTCTGCCGTAGAATAATGCTATTGGGAAATTGGTGGCTCAGTCAATAGCACAACTAATGTTTTTATTTTTTTATTTTTTCGACTAATTTTATTGGAACCATGACGGGAAAGGAACGATGTCGTGAGTTCGTGTTTTGTTGTTGTGTATTACAGCGTCGTTTTACAAACTAAAAAAAAAAAACTGTATAATTAAAAGTTCAATAATATTCTTACAGATAAAATGTAAACTACCGTAGTTTGCCTGTTTACCGCTATAATTTTATTGGAAATTTTTGATTTCATACTATACTTTTAACATTTAATAAACAAAACACTTTCTCCCTTTCCTGCTGCAGCAAACCTATGTGCTCGTTAAACCTAATGTTATTTGAATAGGAAGTAAATCTGACCTGAAGAAAAACTATGGTTAAAATACAATCAGGTAAATAGATAATCACTTAGTCCGCAGGTTTGCTGCGATGGTGTATTTAATATGCAATTTGTTGAGATTGCTGAAATCGTAAATCTTTTTAACGTATTCAATCATATCTAAACTATAAGTCCAAAAATATTTTAACAGGGGACTCAAAATCTTCAGCGCAGCCACCGGCCGCCGGTATAACCATGGACTACATAGTCAATGGTATAACATAGCACTTGAATAACATAGCATTTAGCCACTACAGTCTTAATACTGAAATTCCTTAAACAGCAAGGTTGTACATAGCAAAACAATATTCAGTCAATTAACTATAGATAAGAGACTGATGCCACCAGAAAGCCTTCAGTACTAACTAAGAAAATAATATTAAGTAGCTAATTGACTTTAACAGATTTTAATCTTAGAAGTAGTAAATGTGATTTTCGAAATAGATAAGTTTGTTTTGTGATTTTATTTAGACTTGTGGAGTTTCCATATTTTCATGTTAAATATATAATAGTTATTTTTAATCTTTGTTATATTTAACTTTACAGAAATACGGATAACTTCAAAGCAAGAATCACAATAATAACAATGTAAACAAATAATACAGACAAATAAAGTAAAGTTGGATCAGAAGTCTAAGACAAATCCTGAAATGGATGTTTCCTCAATCATTTTTGGATCTGATTCATTTTACAATTCCTGCTTAACCAACATCCTAATTTGTATATTTGCTTAAGAAAATAAAATGTTAAACATTACTGTATTTGTGGTAAAATAAAATAAAACAAAGTCAAACAAACCAAAAAATATTTTAAACACTAAAGACCCTATTTAATTTATGGTTAAACCCAAATAACATATATTTGATATAAGAAAATTAGGTTTTTTGTCATTTACACAAAAACTAAAAATATACGATGTACGTGTAAATTACAAAGTTGTTTAACATTAAAAGAAACTATAAAATGACGTGCCACTTAACACGTTGCTGTTCGAAAATTTTTGAACGATGGGCATTTGCTAATTTTCAAAAATAGATTTTTTTGAATTTTTATTATAAAAAAAACCGTTACTTGTAGCATATCATAGTAAAGCTAATTTCATAACTAGTAAGAAAATTCAACCGGAGAAGGGCTAAGTGCATTGGTATAGGAAACACAGAGTATTAAAAACGTATTGATTTTTTCCAAATAAACTGCCACCATTTTCAAACGGAAAAAGATAATTCATTTATGTTTTTGCCAAAATGTTTGTCTATTAAAAACCTTTAAAATGATGTATATTATTACATTTGTTTACATTTGAAAATTACGAGATTCGAACTAGTGACACTCAGTTTTTGGCACACCCTGTATTGGAAAAAAGTTAAACATATTGTTACGTTATTCCTTGGGCCAATTTAGCCGGAAATAATCGTATTTCATCCTTGTAAAGCCGTTTTTCCGTAATCAATTTGAGACACCTTACGTGAGACACTCTGTATATATGAATTTTAACGGATGGTGTTTTTGGCCTCTATGGACCTCAAAACGAAAAAGTAAATCGGTCCCGGGTCCAGGTATTACCATGAGTACTACGGTAATAGCTTAATCCCATATGGGAAATTCGCTAAAATGATGAGAGAATGTTAATGAAAATTTTTTCTTGATGGTAGCCTATCCTGAAACTAGCTAGAAAGAGTCCTGTAGTTATAGCTCATTCATCAAATATGTTTTATTTGAATCAACATTGGCCAAAGCTGGTGGAATATATTCCATATATGGAATACATGGTGGAATAGTATGCCTATCTTTGTATCTAAAGGGCTACTGCACAGATGAAACAGTATTTTTTTTTAAATATGGTTTTATTTTATTAAAATTTGTTTGCATTTTTAAAACTAACGAGAATAGAATAGAACATATTTTAAAAATTTTCACACTTTACAATACTTGAATACTGTCTATAGATAGACCACAAGTTTACCAAAGTTTATAGGGGTGTCTAATTTATGGTATTACCAATGTAAACATCTAACATGTGATTGTCCTGAGATGCGATGTTTTGCTCGTGAAGACTCTTTCATCACTTGTTTGTATGTGAAAGGCACTTAGGGGTTGTATTTAAGACAGCCTCTAGCACCAATAGTCACCAATCCATCAGCGGTCTCCACCATGAGAACAGTGAGTACCAGCCATCAGGATTTATATTTAAAACTGTTTATTAAAAATAAATAAAATGAATAAATTGTTTCTTAAGAGTTATTACAAATATTTTAAATTAGTATTACTTAATTTTTGTAGAATCATATCGGAATCACATAAAAAAATAATTGGAGTTTAGCTTACGAATTATGGACGTGCTTTTAATTTTAATATTTCACAATTTGGATTACTCTGTAAAATATGCTTATAGTTTCTTGGTTACACACTTAAACATTTTAAATTTTTTAGTTCATCGTTAAACAACTTCTGTCTTGAAATTAAAATTCAAGGATAAATGTCTATATTAATACTTGATATGGTTGCTAAAATGCTTATTTCAATTTACAGTAGTTTGATTCGTAGATCTTTAAGATTGCTATTTTGCATTATCGTTATGCTTATCGTTTTATCGATCTAACATATAATTAAATGCCAAATATCACTCTAGGTTAAAAGATAAGCTAAATTGTTAACATTTTAATAATATTTACTTATTAAAGAAATCAAGTTAATAACCAAATCGTTTCAAAATTCGTTAAAACTACTGTATTTAAATTTATTTTTATTATTGACGTAACTTTGTATTCTGATATTGGCCTTTACTCAATTGCCCTGATAGAGTTAATTTAAACGAATTTGATTTTAGTTTTCATAGCTGCTGATAAAAGATAAGTAGGCCTAATGTTTAAATTAGTAGGATATTATAAATACGTTATTACTAAACTAATGGAAAATTAATCCATTAAGCCTCCAATGAAGTAAACAGCCACATTTTATGTAAAACATTTACTATGCTGTAGACTGTTGACTAATGGCTAATTAGATAAACATTAATTTTCTCTCACAAATATATTTAAAAATAGATTTCATAACTTTAAGGTTATATTTTACGCATTTACAGTATTGGTTATACTTATGTATATTGTTATGAACATTTCTTAATTTTATAAAGTGAGTATTTATTATTGAACTGTTTGACAAGTGTAAATATGAGATTTTTCAATACTCAAACTTACGTGTTAAATAATATAAGGTAACAGGGCAAGGCTGTGAAAAGTAGACTTTAAGAACTGCACTAGTTTTCCTCCTTTTTAATGACATCGCTGGTTACGGCCCTTGTTTTTCACAGGACATTAAACATATTGAATATACAAATGGTGGCTATTTATTTTAATTTAAAAAAATTAGGATTTAGTAAATTGTTTTACGAAAACTACTTTGTCAGGGGAGCGAGCTGGCCTAGTGGTAGAGCGCGGGACCACGGTTCCTGAGGTCCCGGGTTTAAATCCTGTCAAATCACCAATGGATTTAAATAAGTGATAATGACGCAATCCCTAGATCTAGATTGAAGTAATGTAATGCCCCCAGTACACTCTCGCCGAGGCAAGGCGAGCGTTGGCAAGTGCGAGAGTGTACTCGGTTCGCTCGTCTTCTCTCGCCTTGACTCGGGTCGCCTCGCCTCGCCTAGCCTCGTGCTCGCCGGCGCTCCATCTGTAGTCGGTTTTTTGACACGAGTCAAAGGACCCGAGACTGCACGAGTGGCGAGCGCTACTTCCACATCGAAGTTTATTCCATTTCGACTGCGAGAAAATGCGAGAGTGTACACGGTTACCTCGCATAAGCTCTCGCCCGAATTACTCGGCGAGTGCCTCGGTGAGCGTCTCGGCGAGAGTGTACTGGGGGCATAAAAAAAATACACGGCTCCTGTCCTAGGACACTAGCTAGGACAATAAACTACTTTTTCATTTTGTTTTATATTATAAGAAAAATAACACATCGACAGACAAATAACCTGAAAATCATTCGAGGCATAAATTTAAACTAAAAACATTGCGAATAATTTGAACTAAACTGCTTAGTGGGAAAGGCGTTACCGGTACTATATTTTCTATTCAGTTGAAGGTTTAGTTTTAATTAGGTAGGAATAGTGATGCCAATGTTTTATTTCATACTAGCCCCGAGTAAATATACGTAATCTATATATACGAAATTCCAGAATACGTGCCTAAAAAATGAGTAAATAAAATAAATGTTGGTTTGAAAATAATATTTTTGTTTGAAACAGTTTGTGTATTTTTCAGATCTTCATCATAGCCGCTGTTTTGGCGGCTGCCTACGCCAGGCCGCAACTATCTAGTCAATATGGTCTGCCCAGCGCCGCACCCCCAGCGTTTGCACCACCTCCTGTAGTATACGCTCCACCTCCACCACCACCCCCAGTATACGCTCCACCCCCTCCAGTGTACGCCCCACCCCCTCCAGTGTACGCCCCACCTCCACCCCCACCACCAGTGTACGCTCCCCCTCCTCCTGCGTATGCTCCACCCCCACCACCACCACCTCCACCTCCCCCACCTCCTCCTCCACCCCCACCACCCCCACCACCAGTATACGCCCCACCTCCCCCAGTATACGCCCCACCTCCCCCAGTATACGCCCCACCTCCCCCAGTATACGCCCCACCCCCACCAGTCTATGCTCCACCTCCACCACCCTACGCTCCTCCCCCACCAATCTACGCCCCTCCTCCTCCAGCATATGCTCCACCTCCCCCACCACCACCTCCACCACCACCACCACCTCCCCCACCTCCACCACCACCCCCACCACCTCCTCCACCCCCACCAAGCACCTACGGACTGCCTTCTTTCTAAATGCAATTGGTAAGTACTAAGATTTTACGTACTCTGCTATTTCATAAGGAAATGCTTATTGTCAAAAACGGAGTTAATTAAGCAATAAAGACTATTTCCATGATTAAAAAACAATCAGCTATGAGCTTTAAATACCAAGTTTAACTTGAAGTTGAACATGAATGACATTAACTTTATGACAAATAATAACTTACATTTCTAGTTAATTTATGTATTTGATTTTTACATTTACTGAAAACAAGGAATTCTAATTTCATGAATTAGTCTGCAAATCTGCATGACTACAAGGGTAGTCTTTTATTTATGAAAATAATACGATGAAACATTACTTACATACTAACTACCGTAGCCACAGGTAGTTAACCTCGCCTAAACTATGCCTCCAGCCTTTTCTGGGCCTGTTCATCATTTCGTCCTAGCCTCATTAGGGCCAAGTGTACTGTCCTTTGTTATATCACTTATATCCATATGAGCTTCAGCCTGCATGGAGGCCTACTGCCTTCTAGGTTGTTCCTCAAGTTATTATCAAAACCAATCTAGAAACCCCACACTATATATAAAACTATATATATATATATAATGCGGTCTATAAATTATGATCAATCTTTAATTGCACTAGTCTAGTACTTTTTCGTTACCGTGTATCTTAACAATGTGTTCTTTGTTGCAGAATGAAGTACTCGAGAAGATTTCCAACTTTGTAAACGCCTCGCTCTGCCCCAATGGCGTAAACTGTACTTAGTAAAATGGCATTGTTTTATTAATAAAGTGTAAGATAAATAAACAACTGTTTTGTTATTTAAGTAGCCTACGATACACAGTGACTATAACCAAACATTGTCCAGCTAGAATTAAAACTTTTTAATTTGATATAACAGCTTTTGGTTGAGCCTAAAACAGAATTTTTTATTGTTATAGCATAATTTCTAACTGTTCACTCAGTTTTGTGACTTGAATGATTCCGTTTACTAGTTCCTAAAAAGTACGCTTTGCTCAGGCAATTTACTCATCAGGGCTTACAACATTATTCTATGCCATTGTTATTTGAATTGCTTTACTACATTGATACGTTTTAACAAGAATTTTAGTTTTAAAAATGAGAAGTAAGTTACAGTAATTCAAAGGTTTCGAGGAATATTCATACCATCTTTACATTCATTATACAATTCAACAGCTTAAATGTGTATAAGTTTTTACTGAAATATTTTTCAGTTTCTTGTTTTATTTTATTTAAATACGGGCTTATAGCGTTGGATTATATATTTTACAAGACATAAAACAACATAACATAAAAAGAAAAAGAAATCCTAGGCCAGTGGGTATTATTATTGGCATAGTAACCCTGTCTTGGTAAAAATAGCTGTACCAAGCTGACTATACGTAATATAAATTGAATGTTGACAAGAACAACCGATTAAATTAAAATAAGAAAATTGTAACTTCATTTAGAATTTTTTAACACAACTAAATCAGGACGAAACAGGTTTACTATGATTGAGAATAAATAAAGGATCATAGCGAGAGGACAAGTATTCTCTTAACATACACATTTTTTCAATTTAAACATCCTGTAATTGCATAAAATCGTTATTCTATTTTGCCTAATTATTTACAAATAAGTTTACTAAATTGATAAAATATTGTAGCAATAAACTCAAAACAGGATTTTACTCAATAGCCATTAACTAATTACTTGTTACTAACTTGTAACTAATTGTCTGTTATATCTTATAAGGATGTCTCAGTGCTGGCAGTGACGTTATAGATATCTATAACAGGTGTTAGGATGTTGTGTGGAGATCATCAATAATTAATTGTTATCAGATATACATCTTCTTCTGTAATTTAGACACTATGAAAATGGGTATTGGTCACCATAGCTTGCTTGAATGGGATGAAAATGAATTTTTGTTGCCAACTAAAGAAACAAACAATTTTCTGATCAGTGATTATTTATCTAAAAGAAAAATTGTTAATTACATGTATGTATAACCTATAATGTCGGTGAGGCCTAGTACAAAAAATATTTATAGATTAATTAATTATCTTAACAGATAAGAACTTGATTTAACTTTAATAAGATTTGCTACTTGGACTTCTTCATAGCCTGAAACATAGAATCCTAACCGTTGTAGCTCAACTTATTTTGATGGAAAGTCGACATTAGACAACAATCATCGATCGATATATTGTAAAAAATTTAGTACGTAAACATTTTAGTGACAGATTTGCAGAAATAAACCAGTAAACTAAATTATGATACAAATGAACTTAAACAAAATTATAGCGTTGGCTACTAGACTTTTTCAAAATTATAAAATTCAATTTCTGACAAACAGAAAACTAACGCTAAAACTATAGCTTCACCTTACACCCACGTCTCGTTATCTTTTAGAAAGATCATGAAAATCCGTCGAGTGGTTAATTGAGAATTTGCGAATTAAAATACCTCCACGTTTTAATATTATAAGATTGAAACATATCGAAAAATATCCCCAAGTTGGCATTAAAACATGTATATACTTTTCTACCACTCTTTTAATGTTTGTATTTTGTGCGTTCCGTTTGAACCCCAGATTATTAGAGCAACGGTATTTATTACATATTTAAAACGTCTAAACGAACTAGTAAGACAATTGATTAAATGACAATTGGAGATACAAATGTAGAAAGGGTTGTTTGATAGGTCAAATTTAATTAACAACGATGGACAAGTTTTATAATGCTACATTGCATAATGTATACTGGCATTCAATAAAAAATAAAACTCTTGAGTTCTATATCATGTTTCTAAGCAGAATAAAGCACGAAGTGAATGTGTTCTGTAAGTAAAAGTGTTAAATAGTTAGTTGTTGTTGTTGTTGTTGATGTTGTTGTTGATGTTGTTGTTATGTTGCTATTGAATAGTTTTTTGTTTGGGTGCAGTACCAAGTTATATAGTGTTTAAGTTAAAATGGCTTATGAAAAATTACACACTGTAGTTTACATCACTAGGTTGTGTGTGACCGTAGGTTGCTGAACTCTTTGTCACTTTCACTGCAAGCGACCTCCACTCCGTCTTGACAGATCTAGAAATGTGATTGAATATCTATTATTAGCCGTAAACACTTGATATGATCTTACCACCAGTAGATCATGCTAAACAATATTCTTCCTGAGCTGGTACACACATTTAAATCTTTCACAATCATATTTTTGGCATGATCCCAAAATGATCCAATTGTAATATTTTTATTTTTTTGTGAGGTGAACTTTTAAGTAGATTTGAGTGAGCTTTTCTTCTTTCAAACATAGAAGGAAGTGTTCCAAGTTCAAATTCTTATGCTTGAAATACAATAACCTTCGATTTGGAGTCACTATTTCACAATTTTAAATAAATGACTATGATGAAAATTGTTATAAACAATTCTTACTTAAGTAACCGATTCAAATGTTATTGTGAAAAATCCAGTATAAATGTTAGTTGTTAGGAATGTAAGGACAAAACACCCTGACAATTTTGATCTACATATTATTTTCATTGTAAATAATCATTTTTTGGGTAAATCAACTGTTCAATTCGTTGATTTTAAAGATCATACGCATAAAATATTAGTTTCATAAGTAACGTTAGAGCTAAAGTTAACAAGAATTACCACGAGGTTACGGATAGTACTTTTTATTTGTTCGTTAAATAATCTAATGTATAACTAATATTTAATATTTCTTCACGTGTAGACGTTTAAAAACCTTTACAGTTTTTGTTTAGGTGATGCATGCCAAAAGTAAATGCTCATTTCTAAAAACGACCGGAATCATAAACTCTAGAAAATGTGATTGGGTTTTATACAGTTCTTGGCTCTCTACCAAATAAAAGTAATCGTCTTTGGTATTCCACGGCGTTCCATCTTAAAACAGTTTGATTTATTCATTGATTGCACTATCTAAATCTTTCGTTCATTTGTGCATGTCATTTATATACGCGTAAGTCAGTATTTGAATACAGACTGTCAAACCAAATGGAACTACAAAACCTTGCCCTAAATATTTTCTAGTTACGTTTTAAATTTATTTTAGGAGTTTGATAATTTTTTTAATTTAGGACATGTAGTATGTGATGTTCTATCCGCTTCACAGCGGGTAGTGTTCAATATTGCAAGGGGAAAATAACCACTTTATAGGGTTAAATGTGTAAAAAAGAATAATTCATATACCTTTTTTGATTACATGGCTTTTATAACTCCAGAGATTAAACTAATTTCAACATTATTAGACATATTGACACATTTTCTGAGCGATTTTATTTGTAAGTAAACAAGATTGTTTGGAGAAATGATAATTACTACTGTAATATATGGCTACTGGCTAGGTGAGCGAGCTGGTCTAGTCGTTTGAGCACGGGACATCGGTCCCTGAAGTCCCGGGTTCAAATCCCGCCAAATCACCATTGTATTTCATGAAAGTGATAATGCCGCAACCCTCAGAGTCAGGTCTAGCCTGAAGGGAGTTAATGAAAAAAATTAAAAATCTTTAATTATTAGCAAAAAAATGAAAGTTTTCTGGGTATTACCTATAACCATAGAAACAAAAAAATGGGTTGGAATTAGTTTCACCTCTTGTGGGTGTGGGGAGGGGGTTATTTTTCACTTTTTACAAGGGTTTACTAGATCTTGTACTTATTAAAACCTATAAAAGATCATCGATAGCTTTGGTTTCTAAGTTTTCCTTACAGTATACTCTATGATCTGTAGGATGGGTTTTGTTTGAATACAAAAACTGATGGCCCTAAAACATTGTTAACGTTTTAACTAGGTTTTATATAGAACATTTACAAAACAATATTATTAAAATATTTGCTATTAGGATTTTCATTTTTATTAGGAATCAGCCAATGGAAATTAATAAACAGCCAATATAAGATACCAATATACAATTACATTTCTGTTTTCTTAACTAGGTTATAGGTAGATGAAATAACTATTTATGAAGTAATTAGATTTTAGTAAAATTATATTACGAAA